TACAAAGTGTGTGCATGGACAATTTAGATGATTGTTGAAGTTGACACTTGGGTACATAATACAATTAAAAATATTTATTGCTCAATGCAACCGACAAATAGCTAATGCTGGATATATTATCCACACACACACACTCACACTCAAGAAATAGGTGTTTAATTGACTCATCATGCTAGTAAAAGACACAACACATACTCCCCTTCCAATTTCGATGAGCAAGGTTGTCTCTAGTCAAGACTACTCCCCGGTTTAAGAACCAAAGGAAGATGATAACCCCAAGAGATAATTTAAGTTTCCATAGTTTGTAGTTATCCACATGGACGTCACTATGGGCAGTGTTGAATATAAAGACTTCAAATGAACTTTCTATTCTGGTGCGAGTGTCATCTAAATTTGTCCGACTCACATGACAACTGATGGACTGCAAACATGTAAGCAGTTCATTCGATGCTGTGAGGCCAGGCCCTAACAAGTCCCTATGGAAAGAAACATCAGGATCGGCTTAACCTAGGATCTTGGAGATTGTTACAAACTTATGTGTAACAATTCAATATAGTCCTAAGTATTGCACCTTAAAAGGGGTGGCGTAAGTTAGGTGCCCTCCAAAAATCTAAGTTGAGAACCATCTTTAATTAAGAAAGTACCAAATCGAAAAAGAATTCATTGGCCTTCATGAACCTAGCCAAAAAAGGGATCCACATAGGAGTAAATTAAGTGAAGCACTAGTTTCATTCACCCCTATGGTCCCTTTTCCTCTCCCGCTCCCTCTCTCTCCTTCTTCTTCCTTAAGCCAATGGGCCTTTGCTCCGACGCTTTTGCATCATTCCACTTCTTTTCTTCTCCTTCTCGTTGCAGCACCGACCTCTTCTGTATAGTACGAGACCACTCAGCTCTGCAAGCAACCCCCACGCGCGCCCAACCTGAAACATGTGGCAAGACTCCAGCACGGAGAACTTGGCCATGCCCTTACGCCCAAAAAAATAAGACCCCGTCACCCAAGATATGGTAGGCTTTTTGATCTACTGCACGGACTCATATGTCCTTTTTTTCCCTTTTGCGCTTTGCTTATGTGACTGGGCTTCTTTCTGATGGCACATGTCCTCATTATTTTTCAATTATCCGATGAGAAACAAAACATTTTTTGTGTCAAAAAAGTCACAACAAGCATATTATCATATTCACAAGTCACAACAACGTAACTCAAAAAAAGTTACAACAACACGTGCCGGCTTATTCTGTCATTATGTGATCAAGTTTAAATCACAAATATCCGTTGAGGTTAGAGGTGTGATTTATAACATGACCAACCAACCAAAATTACATGGATCTAAATTGAAGAGTATTATATGCATGCTTCCATAATATAATTTAAGATGATGGTGGCATACCCAATTTGTTCTAGTCACGCGACAACACAGTTACAAGAAGTTTCAAGGATGCAAGGAATTCTCTCAAACTAAATTTAAATTTCTTTAACATGTTGCATGAATAGATAAATGGACTCACCCAAACTCTATGTAGTGTTCTTTTCCTGCAAATATTTCATATTCTATAGTGCTATAAAATATGTATTTCACCATTCCAAATAATCAGGACCATCATTCTTTATTTATTTCGGATGCAACTCAATAGGTATTTATAACGGTTGCAAACTCTCGCAGCAGAGGGCACACACCATTGGTTGTATCAATGAAAAACATTCATGGAAGGAAAAAAGGGATAAAATAATACCATTAGCACTAGATGAACAAATTAAGCTAAGATTACATGACAGATATTGTTATTTCCTTCATTCGCTGTATATATTTGAGCTATAATCACCACACACCACGTTCCAAAATATAGTGCATATTTTGTTTTCCAAAAGTCAAGCATGTCTATGTTTGACCAAATTTAAAGAAAAAAATTTATATCAACATCCATAGAGTGTGAGTGTGTCTAAATCAGATGAAGAGTGTGGTCAAAGCTTCAGTCCTCAGTACAAGTCATGGATTGATTTTCAACTGCAAACATATTAAATACATGTGGCTGGTCTCTCCATGGATAGAGCAAACAAATTAAGTGTTGGTCAAAATAAGCCGCCCTATTCAGACACCAAACATAATTGGGAGAAGAATCCACTGAACACATGCAGGCATGTGGCACACACAAAATTCCAAAACACCTCATGCAGGTTATTTAAACGAGCAATCCCTAAATTCACTAAGCTCCCTAGGGGTTGGAGGTCTCTCAATCAATTGAGGGTCCAATTTTGGATTTGTGTCCCAATTTTGACCGGGTCATCAAGCTAGGTCCTGTAGAGGGATCAATTCTGGGTGCGTCCCATTGGTAAGTGGTTAAGTGGTGCGGTCAGGGTGGTCGGTGGAAGAATCGCTGGTCTCTCACTTTCCCCTCCCGTTCACAATGTTACACGGAGAGGCAGAACCAAGCCATGGGTTCGTCTCCTCTGCGGCGGGTTCTGCGGCGAAG